GAGTGGATATTCACCAAAAATATTTTCTTTATTTGATTGCTTTTATCATTTAACTATTCTGGCTTACTAGTTAGACTCCAGGTCCGATTGTATTGAGATTTAACTTCTATTTAATACTCACATTACTTCTTACATATCTCGATTTCTAGAGATAAGTCGCGCATTGGTTATGCTTATGACATCAGCAGAATACAAACATTCGCTCAATGATTATCTAAGCTGTATAACAGAGAGTTACACTGTTCTGATTCCTAGGGTTAGGTAGTTCAGTATCTTACATAATGTGATTTGAAAACAAGTCGACACGGAATGGTGACCTATTAAAATTTTTGAGTTTTAATTGTACATGTCTGGTTTAGCATCATTTGATTTGACACAAGTTCGATCAGTTAGCGTTTGATCGGTGACACCCTGGAGGATCGTTAAAGTTTTCCTTAACTTGTGTATTTTCACACTCGAAATCTCGGAATTTGTTTTCTAAATATTAATCCCTGTAAAAATTTAATGAGTCACATGAAGAATTGATAAATTGTAAAATGAATTGACGTTGGAGATTACAAACTCTTTTCGAGAGAGTGAATGAGTTTAACTTCAAAAATTCCATATTTGGAAGTCTGTTCAGTCCGCTGTATGGAAGTGTTCCGACTAATTAATCGTCGGTTTTAACAGCGGGTATTAGCACAGAATGTAGATAGAACTTCTGTTTATATTATTAACCGTTACTTGCATGACAATCTTTCGAAATCCCACTCTCCATTTATCATTTGCCCATCCATCAAATCAAATGAAGTCGTCTTTCGTAACTATAATTGTGTTCGCTGAGCTGTGACTTGAAGCGGAAACCGATAGTTCGTTTCAGACACCAAATCGCTATCCACTCTACAACTGGGTCACGATGAAAGGCTTGTTGTGCAACAGATATAAGAAGGAGGTTCAGAAATAACAATCCTTACAATCACATGTAATATTATTTAGTGATTAAAATATGATGTTTTACACACCTTCGTAATTTTGCTCATCCCTGTAGGTTTGATCAGATCAATTGTAACATCTGTGAATTTCTACCGAAGAAAATCTCTTTCTATTAATGTTTTAACATTTTCAGTATTCCGGCGTCATCCATCTTTCTATTGATCTGTCTGTCTATAATATGCTCTGTTAATGGCATGCAATTCATATGACATTCATGTGAAATGCTATATTTAGAAAGGTATCAGACTGAATCACTTTCACATGAAACGTGTCATCGACATTCCATTCTCCTCTACGTCTAATGTATGAATGTCTAATTTCACAATGATGTGAAAATCCTACAATTTGCATGGTTTCTCAATACTTATTCATAAGTGATTTTTTTAATGGTAACTATATGATAGACATATCAATTCGGTGATATTAAATTCCGAAAGATTGAATGACATTGCTTAAAATTGGTATGATTGCAGCTATGCTCATTGATGAGTAAAACGGCTGAAAGATGCGTTGGCTGTGGAATGGTGGAATGGTGGTTAGTCAGCCACATGATCCCAGTTCGTCTCTCAGTTCAGTGCACTCCAAAATCTCGTCCAGTTTACTAAGGCGACAGTTAGACACGTAAGCAAGGGCGAACTGGGAGTGAGGTAGCAACCTCTCACTTCGACTGTGACTTCAAAGGTGAAGCTTATAATCTCCAATAGTCCATTGGGAACACAGACGAACAGAAGAGAAAACCGATGGACATTCTGTAGACGTACATGAAGTCAAAATGTGCATGAAAATAGGATAGATTCGAGCGACAGACTGCAATGGTATTTGTAGGGGAATATGTAGACTATCTGATGGTTGTTGTGAATCGGCAGGGGGCTCAGCCTTGAACCACCTGGGTTTCGTGCTATTTGGCACTCACCAACAGTCAGTAGGGAATATCTGTAACTTTGAAGGAACTCATGTTCTTAATGATATTTGAACCCGCGTTACCCGGTGACTGCTGCATTCAGAGACGTTACCGTTGAGCTATTTAGGCTATTATTTGTCCTTCTGACCTAGCTTGGTGGAAATATTTCAAACTAGACTGATAGAATTCTCCCTTTATCAAAGATAGGACTATACACTTCACATTAGTTACTGACAATAGTCCTATCAATGTATCCAATATAGTCCTACACGAGGTCAAGTTGTTTGAAGCATCTAAATAAGTATAAATATTGTGATCAGATCGTCCGGATGGTTTCAAAAATCACTCCAAGACTATTGAAACTTTTCGGAATTGATATCGCACACAAACCAATCCTTGAAAATCACTTCACACAACCCTATTTCAACCAAATGACTCAACAACGAAGGAAAATGATACCATCATAATCTACAAAATAAGTTGCAACAACTGCGAGAAACACTACAATGGCGACAGTGGACGTCCCCGTCATCTTCATATCCATGAACGTAAACTAGACGTCAAAGACATTTTATCCCCTCCCTCATATCGCTACGTATACGCAAGCACGGACACCAATTCGACTGGGACAACGTCCAAATATTAAACGGAGGAAACACTAAGATTGCTAGAGAAGTTTTAGAAGCCTTATATTCGGTTGAATTGACAATCAATAGACACGTTGAAATAGACAAAATTTATCAATCGATAAGTAGGAAATCACACACACAAAGGGTCAAAGTTCAAGTCAAGAAAACAGTCAGTTCCAATACAAGTAGCCTAGAGGGTGTAAAAATACACAAAACAACCAATCACGTTCCAGTTCACCAGGAGGGATGACTAATAAACTCGTGGATAAATCTAAGAGCTCATTTCAAATTGAAGGATGCACTGAAGATTTTAACCAGTAGGGTAATGAAAGCTTCGCAAATAAACCATCCAGCTCAGAGAAAACAACTACATCAAAATTACCCACCTGAGGTACAGATCTTCTCCATGATATCTAATTTCAATATTTTATCATCAATTTGGATATTTCAACTAAATTTGTAATTATTATCCTTTTTTCTCTTAGACCGAATATCATTCTTCTGATAATTGCTCGTCATATCTTGATTTGATGCTTATAATTTGTCGTTGTTACTGTTGTGAGACACACTGATAATGTTTTGTTTTATTCTATGGCTTCGTTTGAGTGAATACGGGTCATTCTGACTATGCACTGTCTACGGGAAGCATTGGTGTTTGATTCATGAGGGCAGAGATCTTGATCCCGCCATGTTTGTTCTTGCTTTATCTAAAGAATTAATTAATTTTCATTATCAATGGGTATATATACCAAAACCTTAACCAAGTCTAGTTTACCAGTTTGCTAGTTTTCTAGCCTGTCCTAAGCCCCCCAAAAAGAGAAAAGGTTGAGCGCGCTCCTAGCGATGCTACCCTATATAATCAATCCAATCAAAGCACGACGAAAAACATAATAACCAAACTTATTATTTGCTGAAATGCGGACCTTCAGGAAGCCAGCCAGCCAGCCGATGTGTCGTCTTTCGATGAAATTAAAAATAAAGAAGTTGGGGAGTGGAATCTTTGTACAATGTACGAAGCTGATTGGAAAGGCTACCCAGGTTGTCAAAGAAATAACAGATGCCTTAAGCAGTATTGACTAATAATCTCGCTTAAGAGTGACTCCAATAGGGATTCAGTTGTCACATCGAAACACATCAGTATTCATTCAATCGATGGAAAGAGAGAAATATACGCGGGAGGGAGTAACTATCACTTGTCAGATTAGTGATCACAATTAAGAGTGAGTTTTGTTACAATCCAGTATAAAAAGAACTTAGTCAGAACACTGTTCAGTAGAGCACGAAAAATTTGTTCTGACAGTACTGTTGAGCATGAAATAAAATCTCTGAAGGATATCTTATCTAAGAATGGATATCCTGAGAAGTTCATTAATAAATAGTCTAAAGAAATCAGCCCCTGCAAAACAATCCAAACAGTTCCGAAGAAACCTGTCTATATCAGTTTGTCGTTCAAAGGAGATGATGTACAGGAAGTAGTCAGACGAAGACTCGACAAAGCCATCAAGAGAACTTATTATGCTGCAAAACTTGTTTTCCTTAACACCACTAAGCGAGTGCTTCAACAATCTGGGAAAGACCAGTCGCCAATCCTCGACACTTCAAACTGCATGTATCAGTTTGAGTGTGTTTCTGGAAGCGAATACATAGGTCGTACGGAATGGCGATTGTCTACTCGCATGATGGAGCATTTGCCAAAATGGTTGAAAACAGCTGAGTGCAAAGTGCCAAAATCCTCAATAACAAAGCATCTTGTGGATTACGGGCATGATATCGACGCGGTCAAGTCATTCACTGTTATTGTCAGCAGACAAAGAAACAAGAAGATGCTTGCAATTGCAGAGGCTTGTGCAATTCGAGTTTACAAACCAGGTCTCTGTGTACAAAAGGAGATGGTCGTGACTCTGAATTTACCATGGTATTACGTTTTACTTATAATTCTACCTATTATTATTATTCTTGATTCATTTAAAACTATCCTTTATCAGTAGCATTATCTTAACTCAATTCAACACTATTATTATTATTATTGTTATTATAACTATTACTATTGAAATCCGTCTGGTTGCAATTCTTGTTATATTCTCTAATGTCTAATTGTTTATCTAAGTGATGTGTAATTGAAGCGTAATGCAATTTATCTTAATTTTGATCTCCCATACACTCTCTCTCCCCTTATCTAATTGAACATGACCTGAAAAAACATTCGCACCTGTCTTTCTGCATGACTAATTCAATGTAGTCTGTTTACTTATCAGTCCTATATCTCCCAATGTAATTTCAAAAGTGTATATATATATATCCGCGTATGTAGAGTATTCAGCATCTGACGTGTTCTACCGAAATTTGATGAATTCATTAAATCATCCTGCTTTATTAACCTTTATTGCTTGGCTTAAGATCACAATTAAGACAGTGTGATAATCTGAACCGTAAAGGAAGGGAAGTAAGACAAAACCTTTAACGAAACATATATATATTTTATAAATATATTCTAATTATGCTAGAAAAATATTTTTTTAACCAACCATGCAACACCTAGTATACAGATAACAGGAATTGCATAATTCGCAGTAAACACCATAATACGTAAATACTTAAGCAGGCCTTTAATTTCTTGACGTTCATTTTTAAACGGATACGGTTGCTGCGGGATAGGCAAGTTAAGAAATTTGCATAAAGGCTCCCAACCATCTTTATAATGATGTATTAGTAATTGATCCGGCGGAATATTTCTTTTCACCTTTTCTATGTATAATTCAGCTAATTTTAAGCATGTTTCATCATCTTCATGATGGTCGAATTCTTTACCATAGGCATAGTATAATGTATTGTCAATTAATTGTTGCATTCCTGTACCAACAAGTAATCCGATAATAAATTGCCCAACTATGCCTTCAGCAAATAATTCCTTTCTAGGCAGCGATATTGTTTCACGTATACTACTCAACCATTCGTGTTTATCTCTCCAAGAGAGAATGAACTAAATAGTGATAAATAGAGAAAAAAATAAATAAATAAAATAAAGAAATATGTAGGTATACTGATAAAAAATTTTGAAAGGGCGATAATGAAACAAATTAGTTTTTTTACTGAATTGTGTTTATACAATGTGGACGTCGCTGGTCATGATTTCTCACCGGAACTCCAGCTGATTTCGCCCTGTAGCCAGTCTCACTAAGTATTTCAAGTTTGACCACATATTGATATTAGTTAGAGTAATAAGGACGTCATGGTTAGTGGAGTTCACCCAACTGGGAGTGACACTACCTGGTATCAGTCGTGCTAATGTATATCACGAATTAACAGAAGTTGGAATTCATTGGCTGGTCATTGAAGAGTCAGGATCCAGTCGGAAAAAGTCAGTGGTGGTCAAACCAAAATATGGCCTCATCGGTCAATGAAATCCACAACAGTTAGCTTAAGCCAGCCATGTAGAGACGCGTAGACTTCCTGACTGGTTGGGATCCTCGGGACGGTAAACACCAATGAAGGCTGGAAACAATTGGTGATATGGCTCAAAATCGTTCTCAATGGCTGGCGCAGATGCATCCACTTCTTGTGACTTATAATTTCCAATAAAACTATATTGTTCTTCAATATTACTATTCTTTTTGCCTTATATCTCTTTTTACTGTCTCTATTTTTGCGTTTCTTTTTACTTTCTTCTCTGGCTTTGTGTGCCAAGTGAAGTGTGGCGACTCGAACTGCTGCACATCAGTGCAAATTTCTATGTTGAAACCAGTCAGTCAGTCAGTCGGGTCCCAGTGGCTGAATTGTCTATGAGCTCGCTTTGTACCAGGAAGGTCCTAGGTCCCGATTTCTGTGTGTACATACTACTGAGTGGTCCCAAACCTGGAAGAGACAGGTCTCTAGTACTTCCTGATTTCCAAGGGTTCTCTAACTGATATCAGTACGTGGTCTGACTTGAACAATAATGTCAGCAGTGAACTCATTGTGCCATAAACTACCTTGTTGACTAACAGAGAAGCTAGAACTCGTCATCCGTGGTAGACTGACTGTGTATTAACTGAAAGATACTTTTCAGTTTATTAAGAAACTGATTGGTCTGAACACTTTCGACATATTCTTTTTACCTAACAGCATCTTCCTTGAAGAAACAGTTGATATTATCTGGAAAATGATCTAAGATACTTCTCTTACCAAGTGGAGATTTGAGAAAAGTGGTAATTTTCAGGTATTGATTTTGTAGGGATTTTATTTGATTGCATGGAGGATTTCATCATGAGCTGACATCAGTTAGAGAACCACTGGAAAGCCTGCAGGGAGTACTGGACAGCTGTTTCGTCAGCCTAGTTTGGGACTCTTCATCAGTGGCAAAAGTTAGAATGCAAGGACCATTGGATCGGGTCCAAGTGGCTCAATGGTCTACAAGCTAGCCTTGTAACCAGAAAGTCCTGGGTTCGTACTGCTGAAGATACCCAAACTAGGACTAAACAACTATCCGGTGCTCCCAGGTTTCCCAGTGGTTCTCTAACTGATGTCAAATAGTTTTGTTTTAATGACGAAATTTTTTAGATAGATTGGTGGAGTCGTTTTTGACGAAGATAATCAAGGGAATTTGGTGTTGTAGATGACTTGTTAGTTGGGAACTTCAATTACACACTATGTCGTAGGACTTTGAATGCTGTAAGCAGAGTTACTGTTGTGCCTTTGATTTAGCTAACTAGCATTGTAATTGATAGACATTTAAATTAGTCCAATGCAATTGGCTAAAGTTTTCTTTTCAAGCGATGACTGGTCTTTCTGCTCACAACCTCCTCCTTCTATCACGTCACTTCATTAGAAAACTATACTTAAAATAATCCTTAAGTATATTTCAAAAATCAAAACAAGATTTTTCACTACTGTATGAGTTTGTTGAGGCTGATCATTAGGAGAGGATTAGGAAAAAACCTTCTAAAACATCAATCACCTCATTCGTTCGTTAGAACATAAAGATGTTGATCACATGATCGTGGACTTCTCTGCCTACCAGGTTACTTCTGCTTACTTCTCCCAAGTAAGTTAAATTGTAAGTACTCATGTATATTAGTAACGCAATGGCATATACTACTAACTAATATGAGTAGTTAGTGGAAATTCGTGTGTTTACTAGCCAGACTGAAGTAATCTGAACATCAGACAACCATTTCGCTCGTTTGGAGGCGAGCTCATGTATGAAGTTTATCTATTTCTTGTCCACTTAAAAAAAAACATATACCAGATAACTAATCTCTACAGTGAACTAATCTCCACCATGTAAATTGACTGATACCAGAGAACTGTTTCGTCCTTTGTGTATGATTCTCCAGGAGAATGCACCCATGACCCTACCAGGAATCGAATCCAATACCTTCAGGTTACAAAGATATCACTCGGTAGGTTTTGGTTCCACAACCGGCTGAGGAGCTTTTCTTTTGTGTGTGTGTGTGTGTGTAGGTGAGTGGTTCGCACACACGTGCTTCTCTTAAAGACAGGTAGTTGGGCGTGAACCTATCAACCGACCTCTAGTAGAACTTCAAAACACAATCTTAAAGCTCTATCTTCTACTGTGAATGCGAAAAAAGATATTTAAAAAAAATCAACTGATACAAATTGCAGTACTAACTTTTGCATTTGGAAATATTTGTAGCATTTCTTTGTGTAGTACAGACCCGGGCAAATCAACCATACTATTAAAGCCTGATAATATTTCATAAACAGTATTCTTATTAATGATTGCATTTTTCGAGGATTTCGCTTCATCCATTAAACGTTGCCATTTAGCTACATCATCTCTTCGTGTTCGCATATCTTCAAACAGTCGATAACACCGTCCATGATATAGAATTTCAAGAGCAGCATGTAAACTTGTTGTTCCTGTACGTGGTAGACCAACTCCGATAGCGTAAATCTGTGGTGGTGACGGTGGCGAACTTTGATTACGTGACATGATCATACAAAACTGATTTATTGATAACCTATATATATATATATATATATTAACCAACCACTGTAATTATTATTTTCTCACCCAAATCAATTCACATCACTCTTTGAATATTGTCATCGAGAAACGACCATATGACATTATGTCTAGGCAAAGATGAAGGATACTTTTTTAGGCATGGAGAACAAATCAAGTGATTTGCAAAGCGCCAATCCGATTTAGCCCTTGTCGGAAAAGAAAACGATAGTAGTAAGCTCAAGTATGACGTTTGGTTAAAAAAAAAAACAGCAGTTTGACAGCACTTTGTAACGATGATGTCTTTTACTGGATTAACCAATCACTTATGAGATGTGTGTAGTTTTTTTTTTGGATGTCTTTGATTGGTTAGTTCTACAGCTGGTATTGATTTTGTCACCAAATTATTTTCGATATATGAGTTTATGTAAGTTTCAAATGGGCTTATGAAAGCCTACATGATTTAACTTGCAGGAAATGTGTGAAGTTAAAAAAGGAAAGAAATGTACGTCATCAATGAAAACAAATTACAATGTATAATTTTCACTGATTTGATATAAAAAGAAAAAAGTTTCAATTAGCTTATGATCAACTAGATTTTTCACAGTACAATGAATATTGATTTTTTTCTATAGTTTGGTTTGTAAGGATTAGTTTTAACTGAATTTGAGATTTTCCCGTCAATTGATTGGACCGAAGTGCTCGGTTTCAGGTTGACATGTCGGCTTCTTGAGCAGATGCTTCGACGATGTCTGGGCATTTAATTAGTATTTAATTGGTGGATGGTGACTAGCGTTTGAAACTATGAGCACTGAGTTCGAGCCTCTATGAGAACATCATCGTCAGTGGCACAGTGGTTAGGACTGTCGCCGACCATGCACATGGTCCGGGGTTCGATTCCCTCCCGACGCACACCCCATATCTATGGTCGGCCTGCAAAATTTGGGCTACCGATATCCATGCTGAAAATTCCATACTTGTACTGAAAATACGGTGTGGCATCAAGCTGTAACCAAAAATAAAATAAAATAGAAAAATCACTCACTGAGAAATGCAGGCACATCCAACTGACGAGTCCCAAATAGGACGAAATGCGCATCCTCGATTCCATTGCTAGTCACCATCCCCCAATTAAGGATTAGTTTTGTTTTTACGAGTTGATCACGAATTGATAACATTTAGAGAAGCATTGAAAACCAGCACTGGAATACTGGACAGCTGTTTCATCCTAGTTTGAGAATCATCAATAGTACACACCCAACACAAGGGTTCGAGCCCAGGACCTTCCGGTTACATGGCAAGCTCGCTGACTACCATTCAGCCACTAGGGACCCGACTGAATAACGAGCCTATCATTTCCAAATTCTACCAATTCGTGATTTAGCGCGAAGTTAGAATTTAGAATTCATGGACTGGCTATTGAATCGGGTCCCAGTGGCTTAATGGTATACGAGCCAGCTTGCCTTGTAACCGGAAGGTCCTGGGCTCGAAACGTTTTGGTGGGTGTGTACTGCCGATGATTCCCGAACTAGGACGAAACAGCTGTCCAGTATTCCAGTGCTGGTTTTCAATGTTTCTCTAACTATTATCAATCCATGATCAACTCGTAAAATGAATATTGAATTGATAGATAAGTGAAGGTTTTTGTCGGATAGACAAACCATCTGAAGAGTTAGGATTAGATGTATGCAAAGGATAGTGTCAAGATCTGAAGGCGTCCCCTTCGAATTCACACTAAATATGTGATAAACACTATCAAAGGGTTTCAGATTAAAAGATATTTTCTAACAGTTTACTAAGGGATTATATTATTTGCTTTTATCAACTCTGGAATCAATCAGTTTTGTTAACAAACAACTTAATTACCAAGCGCTTCATTTCATTTCATGGAGAAACAAATGAAATACGTTTCAGGATTTCATCATGAGCTGACATCTGTTAGAGAATCATTGGAAAACCTAGGAATACTGGGAATATGTTTCGCCTTAGTTTAGGACTCTTCATTAGTACGCACCTACCGGGGCTTGAACCAAGGATCTTCCAGTTACAAAGCCTATCTAATGGCCAGCCCATGAATTCCAACTTCTGCCAATTCACGGTGTATCGCGACCACTAGCGAATGTCATCGGCGAGTATTTGTCCTCACAGCATGTGGGGTGTGCAGACCATGGTTGTCCAATGTTTCTATGACAGACGCCAGCTCATGATGAAATCTTTTAATCAGTCAAATTTCTGCGAACCAACACTTGGAATAGGTTTCTTAGAAAATTCGCTTATTTCGAAAATTAGGTCTATGCAGCATCGTTTCACCTTCAGGGATCAACGATGAGGAAGTTAAATCCAGCCACGATAGGGATCAGCAAAGGAGGACAAGCCTTCAATACTCCGAAATCCATATGGAAATCTATAGCATTTTGCTCAACGAACGAGATCCGAGCTTTTAACGGTTTTCCAAAGGTTTCATAAACTTGAAGAATCATGGAAAGTATTTCCAATAGATAACAGACTTCCCTCAGCAGATGCTTTTGCTCCATACTGAAGAACAGATGACCGGTCAGAAAGCGTGAGCAGTGAGGAACTCTGACAAGTGTTACGGAATAATTGTTTGGAAAATCCCTACTGATTGAGTGATTTGCATTATTCACACTTATTTGGATATTTCATTTAACTTCGAGGTTATTTTCCTTTTTTTCTCCTAGGCTATATATCATTATTCTAACCTTAGCATATGACCTGTTGACTTGATCCCCATTATTATTTGTCTTTGTCCCTGTTTAATCTTCACTTTTAATGCTTCTTTTTGTGGTTGTGTGATGATATTAATAATGCGTTGTCTTACAATGTGGTTTCGCTGGTTGAAATCAATATCATTCTGACCATTGATAGTCTATGGGAAGTATATGAGGTGTGGTTCTTGCTGATAGAGTTTGTTGAGAGTATTCTACTGGATTATCGAGTTCGTCTTACGGTTGATTTTGGATAAATATTGCCATGGTAAAGCAGTTTTTTTTGTATTTGAGACTTAATTTGATCTGTATAGCTGCCTGACGGCATTGTCAAGGTAATTTTTGACTGTTTGATACACTATGACTGTTGAATAGTTCTGCAGGTTTTATCCCAAATAACTGTCTTCTAACTATTGTCTGGATATTTTCAGACTGTGCATTACTCAAGGAAGTCTCGGTTAGTTATAGAATAGAAGGCAAAGATTAGTTTCCAAAACACGGTGTGTTTTAGTCACTACAGTAGGTAGTGAACCGCCCAACAACATCTTCCCCATAACGTATACAGAAGCGAAAGGAGTTGGGTTGGAGACAGTCAAGCGACATCACATAACTGGTCATCGAGTGGGACCAGAATGGGGAACGATGAGTTGAGTATCCAAAGGGAGATCATATATGAAGTTATGGAAGGCTTGTGAGCAGTCTCTGAGCCAGCTGAAAAAAATGACGAAGAACAGAATACAGTACAGATGTGCTGTTGGAACACTGTGTTCCATTAGCGACCCGAAAGAGTAATAAGTTGTGAAGCCTCTCCACAGTCCAGTAGTTGCATTCCTTTCTGCAGCAGTCATTGGTAGCAACTGTAATAAGGGTATACTCCATTTGATGATATACCTCAGCTGACCAGTCAAGATTAGTATTGGTCATACCGAAAAAGCCGTTTGTCTAGATGTTATCTTGTTGTGGAAAGCTTCCGGTAAATACCGAAAGGGTGGTAATGCAAATCTCAGTATTACAATAGTTGGGAGCTCTTATGTGTGTCGATAATTCTTGTTCTTTTCGTATTGAATAACCTACAGATGAAATCTATTTCTCTCCTAAAAGGAATTCAAGTATTGGTTTGTAGGGATTTGGTTGATTGGTTACAGGAATTCATCATGAGCTGACACTGGTCGTGACCAGTAGGGTGCAGCAAGTCGGGTGTGAGGACAAATACTCGCCGAAGACATTGGCTAGCCGTTTCGCTATATCGTGAATTTGCAGAAGTTAGAATTCATGGGCTGGCCATTGGATCGTGTCCCAGTGGCTTAACGGTATACGAGCTCGCCTTGTAACCAGAAGGTCCTGGGTTCGAACCCCGGTACTGATGAAGAGTCCCAAACTAGGACGAAACACCTGTTCAGTACTCCCTGGTAGTTTTCCAGTGGTTCTCTAACCAATGTCAGCTCATGATGAAATCCCAAAAGGAATGTCACAGCTTCTCAACGTGTTCTTGACGTCTTTGAGCAAGTTTCAACCAGCTGATACAGGTCCCTGTTATATCAACTTCATCAACCGTTGATAAGTGTTCAGTGCTTTTCAAGGGAACAATTATTCTCATGCCAGTGAGCATGGTAAAGATATTTCATCCACAAATCATAGTAAACCTGTAAATACTGTGTTTCTAAGAAAAACTCCCGACCTGGATATAAGCATTATCTATAAGCGATTTGTATTACTGTGTCTCGATCTTCATTTACAGTACATAATTGTATTCCTTACAGTTCCGACATGCTAGGATGTTCAAGTATTAGTGTAGGCGTTAAGAACTAGGGTCAGTTGAATCTCAGTCAGACTGACGAGTATACACGATTACTGCCTGGTGGTCACCATGAGGATTACTGTTTTTGACAACTGCTCCCCATCACACCACTCAATACACTTTGGCCTACTTTCAAAGAACCTTGTGAAGACACCGGAAGTGACTGCATTGTGATGATGAAGAATTGGTATTGTTGATGATAACAATAATGAAAATTCGTTTTTGACATATAAATGTACCATTTCTATCAACTAGAACATTTGTATTATGTCATTAATTGACATGAAATATAATGTCATTTAAATGGTATCAAACAGTTAAAAATTATTGCGGTGATTGACAATATCTATCACTGTATTGTTTAAATACTTACTGTTGTTTGTTAATATATTTATTATATGAATTGAAATATAATTCCGCCAAATACAAATTCCTAAATTCATCCCTCTCTGTGTTGTTGGTTGATTTCCTGTAATTCGGTCATTGCGAAATACGACTACTACTATTACAAATAATTATAACATTTTGGCGTCGCTATGGAAGTAAACAGTCTTGGAAAGTTTCATATGAATGGTTCAGCGCGGGAAATTGCCGATTATCTTGAATGCTTTGACGCATGGTGCATGTCGAAGAAAGTTTGCGATGAAAAATTTCAGCTAACTTATTTTCTGCGATTGGGCTAGATGCGTACAGCCTAGTGAAAACTCTGTCATTTCCAGATAAACCAA